AAGTTGTTTCTACTTGTATCTCACTTTTCTACCTCTATAATGATAATAATGATGCTGTTTCATTCTGAAGTATTTAGTTACTCCTCTGGTATGGCATCAATGCCAGGTTTTGTTCCTGTTCTACTTGTTTGAGATATAGCCCATGCCACAGTTTTCCAAATGATTCACGTACTGAAAGGGATTTGGTCAACTGCTGTAGCAACACCTGTTTTGTAGAGGTATTTGTAATACTTTTTTTAAAATCAAGCTTAACTATTAATACCTCTTTCATCCACTTTAATACATCTTTCCTCCACTGATGTTCACTCGTTTTGTAATCTCATAGAATGGGAGTGCTAGGCTAAAATCAGAACAAGAAATGTCATAGGCATACATCGCAGACAAAAAGGGGCCCCTAATTCTTTTTAGGTGGCAATCTGTCTGAGCTAGATTTTGTAGATGGTACTGTTACAGAAAAACCCAGACTGAGATCAGACACAAAACTTCTGTAAAGAACTTTAAATCTCAAAGATTCAGAAACCTATTGGAATATTTTTTCTTCCCTCAGGCTTCAAGAGACTTATGAGTGTTTGAAGCCAAGTAAAATTCATATTTAGCACTGAGCAAAGCAAAACAGTTATTTCAACCAAACTATGTCTTGGCATTGGTTGAACCCCAAGCTCGCAGCAGCCATGCTGATTGTCATGCCACAGCTATTGAAACAATCCTGAAATTAATGGAAATCTCTGTGAGCTGACACATTTACATTTTCTTCAGCTCCACCTGAGACTTTCATCTACAGCAGCATTTCTTTTCTTAAAACTACTCTTCTCAGTCAATTTTGATTTCAGCATCTTATCTCAGCTACTCACCCTTGGCTTCCTTTACAGTCAGTAGAGGCTAACAGGCACTTCCAAGGTGCAGTCAGCCTGGTTTAGATGCTTAGGCCGAGGTCAATCATGCCCAAGACTTGTTCTTAATACATAAAGAGCCCAACTCAGAGGCAGAAGCCCACACTGTAAAAATTTGTATCAGATGATTCCTGCTCCGTTTGATTATCAAGAAAGTCTTCATAGTTGGAAGAAGTTCAAGGTGATATAACATGTTTTGATGCATAATCAACCACTTCTGAAAATCTCTCCTTCCTTACAAGTCTAAAGGAAATATTGATGGGGTTTTATCTTAACACTGTGCAAAGCAATTGGTTTACTTCTTTATAATTAATCAGATCTGAATTATTAGCAAAGCAAATTTCTGACTATTTAAATCCAAATATAATTGATGCATCAGAAAGCTTCTCTACACTCCAATCCTATAATGACCTTGACTTCCTAAAATTGTCATGAAAATTATAGTGGCCTTTGAAAGCAAGAATTCATGCAAAGCAAACCCCGGTGCTTTTTAAGACAGAGGCCAAGGGCAACCTCAATAAAAACAAAGTTAAGATTCAACTGGCTATCACAGGCTGTGGTTTAGTTTCAGCTGACAGATGAGAAGAAAGGGCAAGAGCTTGCTTATTTACTCTGCCCATTGGTTTAATCATCAACATGACAAATTATGCGAAGGAGGCTAGTTTATTCTCATATAGATGCAGGATGGCAGAGTTTATCTGAGATGTTTTGGTCTTGAAGGGAAGGATAGGAGGGACAGAAAGGTTACACGTCCTGACTACATAACCACCTCTCTGGTTGGTTAATGGAGCAGCAGAAGCGCTCGGCACAGAGGCAGTGGTGAGCTTCACCTTCTCAGCTGCAGGAGCAGCCCACAGTCACTGCCATCATGGAGCACAATAGCTTATTAAAGGAATAAAGACAAAACTGTACTTGATTTCCAGAATGGAGAGGCAGGAAATTCTCCTGACCCTGTCAAGGCTTTACTGATCATAATGGGTCTGCCACAGAGAAAAGCTCTGCTTGAACAGCAGAGAGGTGCTGCTCCTGAGGGACGAGTTCGAAAACTCCAGCTCAGAAACATTAATAAAAACATTTCCCACTGTTTCTTCATTAGAGCTTAAAAGAAATAGCATACTCCAGAGCACACTGGCAAAAATCTGTACACTTGAACCATCAAATGCACATATGCTCATTCCTATAAGGTATTTACTGAGAGTTTCTTGGAGAATGGATGAATTTGTTAAGATTTAACCAGTTTCTGCAATGAGTAGACCCCATAAACAGGGCTTAATGTTTATTTCTTATTTCTAATCACCTGGAAGATTGTACAAATGAAAAAAAATGATGCTAATCACCAAGGAAAATCACCAGTGAAGTAATACACCTTCTGATAGATATTAATTATATTTTTCTCCGTCACAGAACTTACAAAGTTCTCATGAATCAAGGATTAATTCAGAGGTTTTTATTTATCTTTTGCTGTGAATGGATCCCTTCTCAGTGGAGAGTGAATTAATTTATTTTGTGTCAGCTTTATGGTTGAAAATGAAAATCCTTCATGAAAGAGCTGGCAACCTTTGCCAGAGGAATCCAGAGTGGAACATTCCATTGTTTAGTCTGTTAGATCCTAATGAGTTCTGCATCTAAGCACTTGTCTTTTTTTTTTTTTCCATCTGATCCAGCAGAAGCATAGCAGTTTATGCACTTAAATGTGTGAGACTTGTTTGGGAGGAAGATTGTATTAGAGGAAGAGGCAGCATGTTCTATAGTTTTAGTATAACATCTGTTATTATCATTCAGTACGCTCTTAGCCCAGCATGCCCTTCCTCTAAATATCTTATTAATTAAACTGGCTTAGTAAGAAAATAATTAATACTCTTATGTCCTGTACCTACTTAGAGAGGATTTAGAAACTGAAAAAACGTTCTCGTCTGAGCTACAAAGTGTAGGGTTGTGGGTTTTTTTCATTCTTGATCAGAAGCAAATCACAACTAAAAGGGAGTATCTGAAAAGCCTGTGCATAGACAGTCTCCAAAAATACATATTTTGTGTTCAAAATTCTGCTAGACTGCAAAACTAGTACATGACTTTGAGAAGTCTTGGTCAATACTTAAGTGTCTTCTTCCCCAGGAACTGTTTTGGGAGAGGCACTTCTGCACTTCTTCAGAAGGTCCTCGTAGCCCTGTTTAGCACTTGATCCTCCAGAAGCCTCAACTCCAACTCACAAAATTGCTACTACTTTAATAATGTGGTGGAACTTCCTGGCCTTGAAGTCAGTAGTATGGACGCTGCCTTGCACAGGCAGCTGTTGACAAAGCAGGAGGGTAAGACGGTGAACCCGGGTGGGCACCAGTGAATTTGTGTGTAAAATGTGGATCTGTAATTTAGCTGTACATGGTAAAGGTACAGCAATAGCAGTATTTTCATTTTGTGAACATAGCCACTGTCTATATACAGAAACTGCTGCTTTGCTGCTGTTTCACCCAACTTATTTCCCACTGAAGGACAAGCTCAGACACACTGGGTGTTATTTGCTGCTTACGCTAACAGAAAATGTCACTTTTTCAGGCCTATTGGAAAAGATGTTGGGTTCTGCCGAATTGCTTTTTGCAGTCAGGTAGGGGTTTAACAATCTCTTCAGTGGGAGAAGGCTTGGGAGTTAGGTCTAGCTTGGCTGGGGTTTTTTTGGAAGGTTTGAGGGCAGCTATTCTTATGGAGAAAGAGGAAGAAGCTTGAAATACTGTACTAGAACAAGGTGCCTTCAGCACAGGGAAAAGGCAGATTGGAGAGAAGTCTATAGGGTCTATTGGAGAGAGTTTATAGGGTGTGTCAGCGGAGACAGGCTTTTTATTAGCTACTCACTGTACCTACTGGCCATCTCTGTCCTGAAGAATACATCATCAAAACTGATCTCAAAAGTGGGAAACCTAAATTTATCCTATGGAAAAGAGTGAAGCAGAGCTGGCCCTGTTCATAATAAGCCATAAATATCTGACAACAAGTAAGTTGCAATGAGTGCAGTATGTCACTATAAGCACAGCTAATTTGCCAAGTATACGTGCCCCTGTGGGAACAGCCAACATGCAGCAATGCCAGGAAAGGTTATACCCTCATGTTTTTAGGGATGGAGAGAGTGTTTCAAAGCCTCTTTTGCTTTAAATCTGCCTTGGGCAGACTGGCAATGCTAAGTCCCGGTTCATTTGTGTGTGTGTACATCTGTGCTGGGTCTAATAGGGGAGCATATGGCAGAAGCAATTCGCCCTTGACTGTGCCTCTCTTTTGGCTGGCACAGGCTTGTTTCTCGCAAAGCACATGCAGTTGCAGCCAGTCCTGCACATAACTTCTTGCTCCCCTTGCTTGATGGCTTTCAGGTCTTTGCCTTAATGCATGTCCTTTGTGGTGTTTTGGTTAATTGGACATTGTTTTAATTACTGCTGAACTAAATAAACATGACATTTTTGTCTGTCATTTTGTCACCCCAGTGACCACAGTCTCCAAGCAGCCAGTACAGGACTTGGAATTTTCATACCTGTTATAAATTGCAGTGGCTCTCATGGAGTTTCCCTCATTTACACGTTTTTAGGGGAAAACACTCCTCCAGGGAGGAGAAGGCTCCATTAAACAGTTCTTTTTTTGCACTGTTCTAAGCTCCTTGATCTTCTCGGACTGGAATTAGTGGCAAACAAGTGTGGTTTCAAGGCAGCAGAGAGGCCAGTCATCTTCAGTGACCTGGGGACAGCCAATGGCCACGTCTTCCATTGGTGTGAACCTTTGTGTTGCGTCTTTTCTTACCTTTCCCTGTCCAGCTTCTGCACTAATTGCCTTTTTCTCCTTTTGCTGTCTCTAATTCTTCTCAGAAATGCTTGGGTCACGTGTCAAAATTAAGCAATGGGAGTGCAGACATGCCCTCAGATCAGTCAGTCTGTAGCCATTTCTGTCAATAACAGCCATGCTACAGCTGCAGGCAGATTCTCTGGACTGCCAGTAGTCTTTATTTTGAGATGCTAATTTGCCACTGACCTGAAAAGGAGAAAAAGCATTTTTCAAATGCCTTAAAAGGCATAGAGCCTTTTAAAATGGCCATTTCCCTTCTTTTCTATTTATATGACCCTTCTCCTTTGCTTACAGCTTTAGAAAGAAAAATGTCAATGAGGCAAAGCAGAGAGGAGCTTATAAAACGAGGAGTGCTGAAAGAAATTTTTGATAAAGGTAAGTGTTGTTCTTTTCACAGCATTAAATCAGATCCCGTATAGTTTTATAGTCAGATATTAATTATTGTAGCATTAGGAACTGGGGACACAGTTCTGAAGTGCAGAATAAGGTCTCTATTTTTTTCAAATCTCTTTTGATTTCACTGTGGTCTAGCCCTCTCCACTGGATACGTGTGATAGTTACCTAGCAAATAAACCTGAAAACAAATCAGAAATATAAAGCAATGGTTGATAGTCACTCAATGCAAAACAGTGAGGAAACCAGACTGCAGGGAGATGGAGTGGGTCCGTGCCTGCATATGTTACAATGTCATGTTGAGTTACCCTGGCATTAACTACTGTGGAAAAGGGAAGCATTTAAAGGTTTTGGATCCTGATGAGCACAGAATGGTGTGCATTCCCTTGACAGATCAGAAGACATAATAATAATAATTCCTTGCTCAGGATAATTAATTTGTTGAGTTGGTAATGTATTATTTATGCAAAACTCCATTGTTTTGCAAACACCATTGTTATACACCGCTAATGCAACATGTATTTGACATCTATTACATATGTGTCAGTCTTTACCTGTAGCTGTTATTTGTTTTGCTTCTTCCTTTGTCAATAACTAAGGCAATTAATTCAGCAAATTATATAAAGACATGCCAGAGTTGCCTCTTAATTTCAGTAGAATTTACGCTTATACTCTAAAACCTCATTAATCCAAAGTCTAAAAGTCTTTAACAATATGAGTACAAAACCTGTTGGAAGTCAATAGAAGTTTTAAACTTTCACAGATTTTAGGAGAAGGGTATACTTCATAAAGTCTGGAACATTTAAATCTGCTACCTACTTTTTTAGTCTAGCTTATTGAGAATTTAAAAATTTACTAACCCAAACCATTTATCTTTTTTTAGTGAAAAAAAACCACAAACCATTGCAAAACCAAAGAAATGTGCTACTTGTCATTACATTTTACATTTTTTTACCCATTATATATTTTAGATGTTTCTAATTGTTTAGATCTACCATTATCTGTACTCTCACTATGACCTGCTGTCTTGGAAGTCATCCTAGAGGCAACTTCACAGTAGAGACAACTCCTGGCAAATGGTTTGCCCTTCTCGCTGCTTTGGATTGTCAATGTTCTGGAGTGTCATACAGACTGGGTACACAACCATAAGGCAGGCATCCCCATGGCCATTGAGCCATGGTCCAGGCTGTCACACCGTGTTCCAGCCCCAGTAAGAGGCACCCTGTTCAGTGCCGTGACCAGCTCAGAAGTCAGCCTTCATTCATCACACCTCTGTCCAGGGTGTGACCTCCTTCATCCCTGCCTCACATCCCACATGTAGCTGCTTTCATAAACCTAAAGGCATCCCCAGGAAAAATCTTTCCTGTGCAGCCTTACCCTGCTTTCCATGCTGAAACTCAGGGAAATTTTGCCTGCTTCACTACTGAAGCTCTACAGCTTTCTCCATTCATAAAATAATGCTGTAGTTTGTAATCTGTGTCATCTTATGAAGCAGATGCTAAGCTGTCTGGGGGTCCTCGTCTGGAAAAAGAAATTAATTCCTCTTTATAGTAATTTTTCATCTTTTCATATCAGAAAAAGATGGAGTGAAACACATGCTGTTTCTTCCTATTTCCAATGCAAAAAGCAGAGACATCAGACTTTTTCAATGTCAGGTGCCACTAAAAGGGAAATTACAATGCAAAACAGCTGGATTTCTTATTCAGTATCCTACGTTATTTCCTGCTGGTTGCAAACATGGGAAGCTAAGAATTGGTACCCCTCCTTGAAAGAAAGAGGTAGGGCAAAGAAGAAAGTGATAATACAGAAGAATAGTAGCAGTGATTGAGTAGCTTTGATCATAAAAAGATATGAGTAAGATGTGTAGAGCAAAAGCAATATTTCCTTCAATGGTGTAATAATCTGAGAGTAATTCTAATAAAGGATATTATATCTCACTGTGAACCTTAAATTAAAGTAACATTTTCCTTGTAATTCTTGTTAGATAATCTCTAATCTTTCAAGAAAACATAGCAGACTTTAACATTTCATAGAAGAAGGCTTTATTTGATGATAGTAGCGCCTTGCATGCCAAGAGACAACTTACACAGACATTAGGTGTAGCAATAATATTAAATCTCTTTATCTCCCTAAGAGGTGGAAGATGCAGGCAGAATTAACCTGTTAGTGATTTTGCATTTTTCTTTCTTCAAAAAATCCATACAGATAAAAGGAAACTTAGTATGGATAGACTGACCCAAGAACAAAAATTCTGGAGCTTGCAGTGTGCTTTGTATTGGTTTTGCCGTATCTTCTATGTTGAAGAAAACCAGAATGAGCTAGTTTGCTTCCCTGCTATTTAAAATGACAGTCGGACCTGTTTGCTTCAGGATTTGCTGGCTTTTCAGAGGACTTTGTGTCATCCAGCAGGTGAAAGTTAGCAGAGCACAGCAAGTCACAGTGTTCACACATGGGAGAGTCACTGCAGTCCAGCTGCTATATTTGGAGAACAAGAAATGCTTTTATCACTTCAGTGACCCCCACGCTTTAACTCAAGTCAAGTGAAACCACTCCAAACTGAACTGCAGAGCTCTTTTCTTGGCAAGGGCAAGACTCATGACCAAATCAGTTTCTATCGTCTTCCATTTCCAGGGTTCTGTGACTTCATTCTTCTGAAAATGTAGGCAAAGGTTGTAGTGTTTTTAACTACTGTGTACTTTCGGAAAAACAGTAAGTTGAAATGTCTGATGAGGCACCTGCTGTTCTAATAGTCTGTGGGCAGGCAGTGCTGAAAGGTTAAAAAAACAGCTTCCACCTGCAACGCGGAACATACCACAGAATTCAGAATAACTCACATTTTTGCTATACCATTGCTCCTACACATAGAAAAACAGGTTTGATTTTCACATGAAGGTGTAACCATCCCAGAAGCATCTGTCTTTAGAACTGCTAACTGTCATGTGGTGCCAGTCAAAAATTGAATCTGCTTGTAATATTTTGATACCTCTTTTTATATCTGAATGTAGATGAGATGGCCTGAGTGAGTACCAATTGCTTGTTTTACAGATGACGGCACAATGGTTCTTCAAGGAAACATGGGCAGTCTTCATCTTTTACACTTTTGTATTTTTATACTCCCTACCTAATTAAAATTATAGATTTAGACCTAAATTTCAGGTTACCTGAATCCTAACAGGATTTGAACATGTTGCACTTACGTGCTAAGGCAAGTTTTGTGTCAGTGTGTGATTATAAGTTTGAAGAACTGGTTTTGGTAATGCAGCAAGGAGGAAGGCATGGCAGCCACTGAAGAGCCACTTGTGTGGCGGTGAAATCATATGTTGAAAGGTTTTGAACTCCAGAAGCAAGGAGGACATCCCTATGTCAACCTGTCTCAAACTCCATAGGAATCCACAAAATCAGGGTCAGCTTAGAGACTGATCCTAGCTACCATGCTAAGGTAGCCACCGAGGCTAGGAGACAGCCCCCTGGATAGGTGTGGACCACAGGCACGAATACTCAGTTTTCCATTCCCTAGCCCATAATGGCCACAGCAGAGAAGAACATGAATTTTTCTCTGCCTTTCCTAGCCCTTCCCATCAAGAAGTAGTTTCGCTTGCCTGGAGAGACAACCCGAAGTGGATTTTGAATTCTCCTATCCTCATCATTTTGCCTCCAATAGCCATTTGTCTGTGGAAGGAGCTCGTGAGCATGGCACTTTTCAGATATGCGAGGAGTTCCCTACTCCAAGGTATTGCGAGTGAAAAGACACATTGAGAGGATACATGGAGCTCTGACATAAAGAACAACAAAAGGACTGGTCTGTGTCAGTCAGCGTGATGCGCTGCAGGCTGCTTCACACCAGGCAGTTTTTAAGTACGCAAAAGTGGAAATGGCAAGTGAGTTCAGGAGTACAAACCATGCTTGGGCCACATGTTTTGAACATATCATCTGTGCATTTCTGGGCCTTCTCCTCATGCTGTTATTTTCATATATGAAGGTGAATCAAAGAGTCCCCTGCATCAGAGAGTTTCCTCTGAGGTCCTGTTTCTTCAGCAACTTCAGGTGTGCAGAGCCTCCTGCGTAACAGAAGAGCAGCCTTCGTGTACTCCAGGTGCTGCAGAGGTCAAGATACTCTCTGGTGTTGTCCAGATTCACACTCAGCCAGCATTACCAAAACTCATGCATTAGAGGAAGTCGTTCTACATTAAGTAACAGCAGTCTCTGTGGAAACACAGCAAAGGATTTTGCAAGTGTGAGAAGAAAAGATTACATAGGTTAGCACTGTGCAAAATTAACTTTAAACTCACAGCTGGTTCCTGAAGACTAATTGATTCGTCCATGTCATAATTGCAGTACCAGGATTCTTTTAATTTTCAAGTCAGCTAACCAGAATAGCTTTTAGTTCTTCAAAAATAAGTAATTTGCCTTTTATATCTGGTTGTCAAGCATGTCTCTGATCCAGGATTTATTCACACTATGATATTCTTCACTCTGCGAATTATTTTATCTGCATCTTTGATCTGCTTTCTGTACTTATGTAGCTTCCCATGTACCTCTTTTTAAGCAAGATCTGACTTAGGGTGTATATTTCAGTGATGATTATTTCTGATGATTATGTCTGGTGATTTCATTCAAATCCGAGGACAAGTTTTAGAATCTAAATGAAGTTTAGAGATATTCGGAGGTAAGATTAAAAGAGGTCATGCTGTCAGTACAGAGAACTGTCATGCTTGTTATCATGACAAAAGGTAGAAGCCAAAATTTTATCTCACATTTTTCTTTTTTGCAACTGTAAACCATCGTTTGAATGCTGTCTTCTTAAATTATGCCTTGAGAAGCGCGAAGTGCGCTCAAGACAGTAAGATTTTTAAGGTACTCAGCATGTTACGATAGGCATCCCACTGCACTAAAAATATGTAGACATCCCTCCAAAAACTAAACGCTAGTGGTTTTATCATGCATGCTTTTTGCCTGCTCACAGTTATAGTCACATTTAGTCCTGCTCTGAATTAATGAATATTGATAGACACAGCCACTGCCTTCTATTCAGGAAGCAATTGTTCTGCATAAGAAACAGTTATGCTCTTTCGTGAAACCAAGTAACTGAGACAAAAGCAGCCTCTATCCCAAACGTGTGAAGGTGTGTGTTTATAAAAGGGAGACAGTGCAAGCACAGAATGCATAGCATTTCCACCCAGACAGCTAAGTCAAAAAATCTTCAGCTTAAATACTGGCTGAACTGTTGTTTGATTTTTGCTGCCTAGGGAAATAAACAGGCTTGTATTGAATGACCACAGCAGTTAGAAGGAGGCTGTGCTGCAACCAATTGGCCAAAACCATCAGTTCTGATTCATGTTGCTACCTTGTAGCCAGCTCAGTTGATTGCTTTGAAAGCCATGGGTCGAGCTTCAGTCTAGTATGATGTGATTGTGTACCATAATAGCTCTCTAGGTCTTCAAAAAGCCTCCAACAAAAGCAAAGTCAAGACCTTGGTATTTCTAATAATTCCAAAATAAGCAGAGAACACCTTCACTCGCTGTAGAGAAGCTTTAAAAGGCAGAAACATAATTCTGAATACTTATCAGCTAACATACTTTCAGACTTGTTAATTGTGTCATAACACCTAAATGAGACTTCAGCTATTTTACTCTTTTCAGTATTGTTTTTCAAAGTGTTTTTCTCATCTTAGCCCTGTGAGGGGATAGTGTGCACTTGCTTGAATGATACATATCTCTGCTCAGTACATTGGCAGTCATATGGCTAATCAGAGGTGCCCAAAAATCAAGAACCAGAACTCCTGAAATCCTGAGTTTGACTTAAAAAATAATTTAAATGCATAGAAAAAATTGGCTCCTTTTTTTGCCTACTGGTTGTTAGCCTTACAGGTCACGTTCCAGTTATATTTTCAGGCTTCTGCTCATAACCATAGGGGCTGAGCTCTTTCCTTTATAAAACTGTAATTGAGATATCCATGTAGTCATTGCCTCCAGGTACCAGAGTGCTGTGCATGACAAGTTCTGAGATAAAAATCACATGGATTGACACCATAGAGAATGATCTGAACCCTCACTTGTGTTCTTTGTTATTTCTAATGTGAAGTGGTGTTGGATAGGAAAGCAACTACCTGCTGCTGTTGCAGAAAATTTGCTCAGATAAATTAAATGATATTAATCACTTTAAAAATAGGCCTTCTAAATGAAATCTGCTATATCCCAGTATCAAGACCCTATACAAGGCAGCTATAAAAATTATTCTCTCCCTCACTTAAAATCTTGATGCTGGGAGCTGTAATGTTTATATTTGTGTGTCAAATAGGAACATACTTCTGTGATTTTCTTGTGTCCCTTATAGCATAAAAATTGGTGTAAGGGAAGAGAATAATTCTAGTTGTTTTCATTTAATTATTATGAATTATATCCTGTGTATGTTAGTATTCTTTAAGGAAATTCCTTAGCTTCAGTTCCAGCCCATTCTCATTCCTGACTTCCCAGCTTCAACAGAGTCAGGGATAAAACAGATTTTCCAGTCCTGGATGGGACTACATGGCTCCATGGGTGAAGGGTGGTCAGGGGCTATCTAGTTTAGACCATGGTTCATAATGACCATCCAGGGTAAGCAAAGCATCAACACAGATATTTGGCAGATCTTTCCCAGAACTTAATAACTCCTTAAAGCAAGTAGAATGCTGTCCAACTTCTGTGAAACTTGTAGACAGAACAGACGCACATCTCCAGAACTGCTCTGCACAACTTGTATTTTTGAGCTACAAATCATATTGTTTTGATCCTTATGTCTTCTGTATTGTGGTGAGCTGGAGACCAGGTACCCACCGAAGCTGCTCTATCACTCTCTCCTCAAGTGTACAGGGGGAGAGGAAGTAAGAAAAGGCCCGTGGGTTGAGATAAGAAGAGGGAGAGATCACTCACCAGTTACCATCATGGGCAAAACAGACTCCAGCTGGGGGAAGAAATCAATTCAATTTATTACTGATCAAATCAGAGTAGGATACTGAGTAATAAAAACTAAAGCTTAAAAAAAACACGTTCCTCCCACCCCTCCCTTCTTACCAGGCTTAACTTTACTCCCAAATTCTCCACCCTCTCCCTCCCAGCAGTTCCGGGACAGGGAATGGGTGTTGCTGTAATTTCATCACATGTCTCTGCCGCTCCTTCCTCCTCAGGGAACATTCTTCACGCTCTTCCCCTGCTCCAGCGTGCCGTCCTCCATGGGCTGTAGGTGGATATCTACTCCACTGTGTACCTTCATGGCTTCAGGGGGACAGTCTTCACCATGGGCTGAAGTGGTATCTCTGCTCCAGCACCTTTACCACCTTGTCCTCTTCTTTCATCACTGACCTTGGTGTCTGCAGAGCTGTTTCTCTCACATATTCTCACTCCTCTCTGCAGTGGCAATTGCTGCTGCACAGTAGCTTTTCCCCTTCTTAACTACATTATCCCTGAGACGCTACCACTGTTACTGATGGGCTCAGGCTTGGCCAGCAGCAGGTCTGTCTTGCAGCCATCTGGCTTTGGCTCTGTTGGACATGGGTGAAGCTTCTCACATAAGCCACCCTTGTATCCCTCCCACTACCAAAACTTTGTAATGCAAACCCAATATATGAATACATGTAAGATCTCAGCTCGCTTTCCTCAATAACAAGCAAGCTAATGGAGATAGCAGATTTAATTTTTAATTATTTCTGCTTATCTCATTTATGTGCCTTACATTGTCATTCTGTTTTTCTCCAACTATGAACAGATGGGGAACTTTCCATACCGGATGAAGAAGGAGCTTTGGAGAATGGGCAGCCTTTGGGCTCCGGGCAAGTTCTGAGCTCCAGCCAGGTATCCCTGCCAGCCCTAGCAGAACTGGAATCAGGTCCAGCACCAGGGGAACCCTGTTCATACGAGGTGCTCCCAACCACAGAGATCATGGATGGGACAGGTAACATCTTGTGTACATTATGATGTAGATAACTGTAAGCTGTTTGTAACAAGCTTTTGACTTCTAACATTTGGTGTCCAGCCCTGAGAAATCCTGAATGAAGACAAAGGTCTTCTGTGGAAAAGGAGTTGACAACATGCAGGTTGTCACTGGATGCTTCATGAGAAATTTTAACTGACTTGGTATGGAAGTAACCTCTACTTCTACACAGTAACTTCGTTGTAAGGCACAGTCCCTGCACTTTCAGTACCTGAACATCTGAGAATAGATTTCTAACTCTCCAGCTATATCTTACCTGTGCCAGAGGGCTGACAGCATTTTTAAACCCTAGGATAAAACATCGTGCACTTTAGCTGCTGTGTGGTGTTGGTGATGTTCACAGCATGCATCCTTCAGTAGCTAACACAGCCCTACCCTAGATGAGGCTGTCTGCATGTCTTCCCTAGCCTGTGTAGAGATACAGCAATGCTATATATCTAGGTTAGTTCCTCTTTCTGCATCACTTAATGCTGAGAGTTGTGGACAAGGTTGAGCAAGGAAAAGTGACTGGTAGAAATGTTCAGCCATGACCTTGCACGAATATGAAATGCAGTAGGCCCCATGAGGTGCTTTTACACTTATAGCATAAGTTTAGAGACCTCCTGTTAACATAAGTGGTCCTGAGCAAGCTGTGGTGACAGACCATCTGAGATATGACATTTTAAGGCTCTTGATTTGCGTTCAAGATGTGTGAATATGTCCCAGAGGTAATGGGAAATTTGGCTGTTGTGTAGATGTGTGTTCCTCTTTTTCTCTTTCTTTTTCTCCTTTTTCTCTTCCTTTCTGTGTTATATGATGTTTGAGTTAAATCTGTTAGTCTTTCTTAACCTGCCTTGCTGCGCTGCTTTTCTTGTCTTACAATGGCTGTATCTGCCACTGCTTTGCTCGTAACGTTGTTGCGTCTGTGATGTGGTTGTGTCCTCCAGTGTCTGAAGAGAGCCCCACATCCAATGAATCCAGCGTCCTTCTGTCCCAAGATCCTACAGCTAAGCCAGTCCTGCTACTTCCCCCCAAAAAATCTGCTGCTTTCCCTGGAGACCATGAGGACACCCCAGTGAAACAGTTGTCCCTCCTCAAACAGCCCCCTGCCCTGCCTCCTAAACCTATTGCCAGGATTGCCAGCCACTTAACTGGTAAGTAGGTGTTCCTGGACCTTCAGCACCCCTGTTTCCCTCACAGGAAAAAACAGTCCTTACAACAAGGTTCTCTATGTCCTGCCTCCTCCTGTAATGCTGTTTGCACGTTGTTGTGTGTACTAGTAATGTATCTTATGTTGTACCTAGGGCAGGGATCATGAAGCATCTTCAGACTATATTTTCATCAAGGTTGCTTCAGGGCCCTTCCCCTTTCAGCTGTAATTTACCTAAGACCAGTGCTACATTTCCTAACCCTTCTCACTCCTATTCATCAAGACTTACCATGAACACAGAAATTGCAGGATGTGCTTTGAGGGGAAAGGAAATATCAGGAAAATGCTATAATATCTTTAAATGCCTTTAATGAGAAAAGTGATGAGAGTTGAGGGGCAAGGGAGAGTTTTGCTTTCTCCCTTTCTTCTTTTGCTCTTTTCTTCTCCCCTTAGCTGCCATCTGGGCAGGTCCTCCTGCACACATCCTGTATCTTTACATATATTTGTGCTTCAGTTGGCTCCTGATCCTTACACAGGCTATTCTGTCCCATGGCTTCTTGCCATTTTGCTCCCTGCTCACACTGCCTACCTAACTGCTCCCTGTTTCCACCCCTGCTCTGGCTACTCCATTCCCACCAGTGATGATAATGGGCAGTTTCAGTTCCCAAAGATGAGGACCCTGGAGTCTCGCAGTGTATGCTGCAGTCTTTTTCTCACTGCATGGCAGCTAGCAACAATAGAAAAGAAAGGCTCATTTTTCATGTTCCAGATGTTTTAAGAAGTGTCCAGGCTCTTTGGGATTCAAATCTTTAAGTACATGCGGAAGGAGAATTGGTGGGTTTCCTCTCTCCAGTCTCATTTAGACCAGTGAAGCAAAGGATGGATGCATCTACACAACCAAAAAAAAAGCTCCGTAAATGCATGCCTGCACATTTTGAACAGTTTATTCATAATTGTATGTGCCACCTGGGAGGTAGCACCTCAAAATCCTTAGTTCAAGATGAGATGTGGTGCATCTCTCTGCTGGAGCAGCTGCTGGTCTTCTCATTGGGCCAGTCTTCTCGTGTTAATGCTGCCCTGATCTTTTGACAGCTGATGTGAGAAGTGCTCACCCCAGTTTAATACATTCTAGATTTTTTTTTTCTTTTTCAGTTAATACCTATTTAATTCAGGTTAAGATATATATCAGGAAAGATCTCGTTAGGAAAGAGCATATTCTGGTTTTCTCTCATATCTCTACGTAGTCTCTTTATGTTTCTGTTTGGATGACCACACATTTTTGTTCTGTATAGTTTTGTTCGTTTTATGTGAAAGCTCTCTACTTTCTCGCTTTCCAAAATCTACACATAATGGTTAACATTTGTCTTATACTACAAGCTGAACGGGCAGTTCTGTAGTCTGCAAAGCCAGGCAGCGGTATCAATGGCTTCAGGTGAGGACAAAACTAGCTTCCTTTGATCTTCCGTAACACTCTGTCCCAATTACAAGAAGCTGCTCAGAAATGAGGCCAACATGGAAGAAATAATGAAAAAGGAATAGCATAAGAAAAAGCTGAGGTACTAAATGTCCTTCATTCATAAGCCTTTCTTTTGTAAGTGAGAGCAGAAGAATCAAAGGATAAGGGCTTCTTTTTCAACTGGAAATTTTGTATGAAGTAGAATCAGGTTCAAGCTATCCACATAAGTCAATTGCTTGATGGTGATGACTTTCCAATGAAAGTGAAACAGAACTGTGATTTCTTATACTTTGGTGGCCTTTAGTGGTCTCTCATCCAGTCCTAAATAAATTCTTGCATGTGCGTATAGACACATTTTCATACATGCCTATACAGAACCCTCACGGGAAAAGAACAGAGGTTTAAGTTTACTCATAAGGCCCTAATTTAACTGACAGTTCCTGGTGGAACTGAAAGCCTCATTTATATATGCCTTATAAATAAATTTTAAACTTTTTCTTAAGGGTCCATTTACTTTGGTGGTCTAAAGGATATCTGTGTTGTTTCAGTGCCTTGTGTTCTCCGCTGGTAATTATTTTAGCCTTGTATTATCTTTGCAAATGAGCAATCAATCCTAATGAAGCACCCTCATCGGTGAGAAGCAGAATTAATGCTATTCTTTTACGAATTACTCCAGAGACATCTTCAGTTTGTGTGAGAAAACAAGTAAAATCTAAATTCTCACATCTAAGATGAAGACTTTTCTGTTCTTTTTGCATACCCATTTTTCTACTGAAGATTTTGTGAGAAGGTTGAAGGACAAATTAAGATACGTTGGGCATGGCAAATACAGAGTGACAGTGGTTTAATGGTCTGGTAGCTCTGCTCAAGAAGACTGTGAGGGGAGATGAGATCTTGGGAATTCAGGTTCACATCTGAGAATGCAGAAGCACCTCAACTTTTGTCTGAAATTATGTACAGATATATATGTATGTGTACATATGTATATTTAGTTGGGATGTGTTTTAAACATATCTCATAAAATATGCTGACCACACTACAGGTGTGGTAAGCAGAAAAAAAAAAAAAAGAAAAGAAAAATATTTTAAATACAAAACTTTAGGAAAGAAAGGCTTCCTGTCAGCCTAACCACCCTCTTACTGTGAACTTATCCCAAAGTTCTTCAATAAAGGCATGAAGGCTGACTTGCAGGTTTTTGCAAAGAGCTCAACACAGGTTTTGGATATGAAAAAGAAACATTCCTTACCTCTGAAAGAATTTGTGAACCATCTCAAACATCTGTCTGCCTGTGCCAAGAAAAAGATTGGCTTTTCCCTTGATAAGAAATGCATGTAAAAGAGCAGGCCTAAAATAAACATGTAAGAGCACATTTAATTTTGGGGAGAATGAAAAGAAAAAAAAATCCCTCTTAAAGGTGATGGGAAGAGAGATTGCTTCTAGTGAATATAAATCACACAACCTTGGCATGCTTTTTCTCAAGGCTGAGGTACTGCGGGGATGAGACAGAGCCGAGAGCAGACTACAGAGCAGCCACTGGGAGTGGTGCCACTGCTGCTGCAGAAGATGCTCCATGCTTTGCCTCACGCTATCTCCCATGCTCTTGATAATGCTGCCTCCACAGAGAACATCCCTATCCCAGCACTGAGTGTGGAAGTGCCCACGCAGCTCTGGAAGACAGGCAACACTAGGAGAAAAACATGATCCGTAACTGTTTTGATAGCACTGTTTCACTGCCCTTTGGCTAGTCAGTTCCTGGTGAGCTTTCTACTGGTTTTTAAATTATTAGACAATGTTCATGAACAGAATTTCTTCCATCACTTTCATTCTCCAGTATCCACATGCAGAACCCAGGCATTTAAGACAACACTTGAAAGCCCCTTTTATTGAAAATGTTGGAGGAACTGAAATAAATCACCTGAAACCAAATTTAATTGGACTGCTGGGGTGGTCTCCAGATTATCATAAAGCCTCTAATGGCCAAAAGTTACAAGAAAACTGGTCATGTCTGATCTGGTAGACAACACACCCCAGTGGTGTAAAGTTCCTTTTGATCTTGATTCATTAAGCTGTTACTCCTCACCAGCACAGATAATGTTTTCTGAAATTAATTACATATTCTCCATTAAAACAGCTGAACTTCCAGTAACCCATAAAGTCCTGTAAAACATCAGAGAACAAAATACGTGCCACTAAGATGGGATCTCAGTAACACCTGAGTGTATTTGAGCCCAAATTTAGCCTAATAGTACAGTAGCGTGTAGCTTTGGTCATATCTGGCCACTCGGCTGTTATGTGTAAGCATTGAAAAACATTTTGCATTCTTTTGCTTTCTTCATTCAAGATCTTGAGGAGAGGCATAGCACATTTTTAGCTCTGAGACTATGCTTTCTAGTTACATCTCTGTAGATGAAGAAATGATTCATAACTAGAGGCCAACATTTAACATGGTAGGAAACGTTACAAGTCCCCAAAAGTTACTTCAGATAATGCAAACAAGCCGAGGATGAGGTTTGATAACATGGATGCCTGTTGTCCTGCTGCATTGACACAACACAGCTGGTTACTAGTTACAGCACTATAAAAATATTTATAACTATAATTTATCCAATAAATTTTCTCTGCAGTATTCATAACGCAGCAGTCAAATGTGTCTCAGAAGGCTCCTCTGTAGTTAAGCCCAAGACATTTTCCACAGGTTTCCTCCTCTGTGATGTTACCTACTGCTGCCTGCTCTGGCAGGCTATATTCATGAAGACAGGTTACATTCATGTGGGGTCAAAGGGCAATTCTCTTTCACTATGTGCTTGAGGGAGAAGCAGCAGAGCAAAAGCAGCTGTCCTTCACCAGCACCCCGAAGTTCTCATGGGAAGTTGGACCCAGATGCAGTTGCTCTCTCTGTGTTTCCTCTGCATGCTGCTACCTGGAGGAGAGTACCTAGCACATGCAGGCATCAGGAAATCTTGTCTTTGAAACCCTCTTCAAGGCTCTGCACAGGAATTCATGCAGAGCTGTACTTTTCAGCCTTTAGGCTAAGCATCTTTTGCTTGTGTTCTCCAAATTCAACTTGAACCTTGGATGCATATGTGGTGCACAAGAACAGCAAAGAATTTCTTTCAAATCTTCCCTGAAGACATGGCTGCATATCTTGCTGTAGTCAGCAGGAGATGCATGGCAAATCTTTGAGAACAGTTTTTAACTTGTCATTATGAATCTGTTCAAAAATTCATTGAAATAAGAAAAGAGACTAAAGAGACTCCAGCTGTTCAGGCACAAGTGATATTCAGAGAGAAGACCTGAAAATGTAAAAGCACTTGTCCAAATTCTACCAGCAAGTATCACCTCATTTCTACCATGGAGCTCACTCAACAGGCCACGCTGGGGTTTGCCTTTTTTTTTTTGGCACACTACTTCACAGAATTAACTATTTGGTTGCAATTTAAACAGTAACTCATTAACTTTATCACAAGTTGTGTATACAACTTGTAGTTGTATGTAGTACAGTAAAGATCACTGTATGAGGTCATACAGATGGGAAGGAACCTCAGCAAGTCTCTGTCTTCCTACTCAAAGCAGTGCCAGCTATGAGATCAGACCAGGTTGCTCAGGGCTTTGTCCAGATGGGTCTTGAAAACCTCAAAGGATGCCAGCTACACAGCCTGCATAGGCAAATCTGTTCAGTTGTTTGGCTCTTCTCATGGGGAGAAATATTTTCCTTATAATCCAGTCTTAAACCTCCTTTGTTTCAGCTTTTGCCCACTGTCTCTCCTCCTCCCACTATATGCTACTGCGAAGCCTGGCTCCACCTTATTGATAACCTCCTCAAAGGTACCGCAGGGCTGCTGTAAGGTTTTACCTCCATAAGCTATCTTTTCTCCAAGCTGAACAAATCCCGGTCCCTCAGCTTTTCCCTATAGCTCAGGTGCTCCTGCTGTCAACCATTGCAGTGAACTTCTGTTCAACTCATTCTGGTCTTTTGGTGTCTTTCCTAAGCTTGACACAACAGTGATCTGGATACAGTTGAAGAAGTGCTGAATAAAAGGGGAATAATTCTTCAGTCTCCTAGCTATGATTCTATTCATACAACCCAGGAGGCTGCTGGCCTCCTTGCTGTAAGGGTATGTCCTGGGTGCAGCTGGAGCTGTTATTTTTCTCCTTCCTAGTAGCTGGTGGCTCCTGTTTGGCATCACAAGGAGTCCAGAAAGAGCGCTTCTGCCACTGGCAGGATAGCAAAACAAAGCCAGCTCTGCCACAAGCCCAGGATTCCCAAGTATGTCCTCTTTCTCCAGTAGCTGTACTGGGACATAATCTGAGGATTTTAGTGAGCTGACCTGATGTCAAAGGTCTGAAGTGCATGAAATATTTTGGCATCCTCTACTATATTGTAAGTAATTTATTGTCATCAGCAGTGGAAAGGTTGATGTGTAACATCTCTTTCGTCAGTTCTGGCATAGTTATTACTTAACCATGCACAGTGCAGAGTGGTCACAATCCTGCTGGGAACCAACATCTTGCAAAATTGCTCATTATTCTCTTGAGCATGAAGAACTTCAACAAAAGAGATTAATCAGCCTTGCACACCTGGCTTCACACAGTTTGCTTTTTTTCTGTCACATGAGTGTTTTGTGCAATGATTTAAGACTCTGGTAGTGTTCCACTGAGAAGACAGTTATTGCAGATTCCTTGTTCATATTTCCTCTGTCCAGCTTCTCATTCATTTACAGATGTCCATGTCTGATGGATATTCCATGCTGGAGACAACAACTTGTTTCCACCCCTGGATCATAAATCACATACATTGTGAAATTAAAGTAAACAGAGGAAAGAACTGTAAAACGCAGTCATCTCACTCTTCCACACAGGCAATGTTGTTCCCTCCTTTACTCCAGATGATGGTAGTGCGTTTTCCAACAGTATGCCTGGAACCCATGGATTTGAGCAGGGCCTCATTTGTTCAGCACATTCACTGATCTGACCACACAGTAAAACTGGCAGGACAAGGTCTTGGTTACTGGTGTCGGTGAAGATATATTGTTACATTTCCAAGCAAATGGTTCGAACTCTCCACCCATTGCAGTCATTCTCCTTTAACGGGCAAGTAGAATTCTCCTGAAGGTGAAGGGCACATAAGTAGATTTAATGCCTCTGGTTCCTTTTCAAGGTTCTGTTTAGGTATTAGGACCATATTCAGTCAGGCTCAAGAACCTGGGTGAGACTCAGTCAGTCTGAATAAAGCCTTACGTTAAAAATAATGGATGAGGCTTTTGGCAGGTGTCCAGTGGAGTGCTGGGGTGTCTGGTCGCAGGCACTGTCGATGAAGATTTTAGTTGAGATGCGGCAGAAAAGGATCTAAAGCCAACAGCCAAACCTGCACTTTGCAAAATGGAAGTGCAGGTCTTAGTGTAGTCTTTGTAATTCACAACCAACTCTGGAAGTGAAATTGCCTGGAGCACAAATGTATAAAAACACTTTGCTACGACAAATCCCATAGGAGCCTTATTCTCAGGGCTGTATGCAATTTACTCTTTACTCATTCTGTTACCTTTTATTGAAGATGTGCATTCTTTTATGCAGGATACAAAGATACACAGATAACATGTTTGTAAAAAAAACTTGGTAAAGCTCGGAGATCTTCCTGCGCTTGAATGGAAAATCCTGGAAGTCTTTTTTTTTCCTATGGTACAGAAGGCAGCCTGCTTTCGAGGAGAGGGCACTGCCCTGTGCTTCTGCAATCCCATGAGTTTGATTTTTGTCTTGGTGGACCGATCAGAAGAATTTTTGCCTTCAAGAGATAACACGTCAAGTGAATGTGATATTACATTGAAAGCGAAAAGACTTGGATTCTATTTTCTATAACCCTGGAGAGCAGCATCTTACAACCAAGTTTTCTTGGGTCAAAAGAAAATGCTGGCCCTTCAGTTACCATGTTACAACAAGGAAAGTGGTCTGAAGTAACAAGAGGCCATACAAACCTTGCCCACAGAGCTGCATTGCAGAGCCAAGTGTCTGCAGTAATACAGGCTGGAAATGGCCTGGACTTCCTCCTAAACACAAACTCACAACTGTGAGTTGCAGTTTAGTGTGCATTGTGACCATTTCCCACACTCATCTTGGTAACTGCAAGCCCTCCCATTATTTTTCCTCCCTTCTGAAAATATTTCACAGTGTGTCTCCAAAAATCTCCATTGTGCAGTTGAGTCTTGGCAGAGAGGTTTACTTGTGGACCTCTCATTGATTTGTCGTGGAAGTCAGCAAAGTCTTTGCCTGGCAGGACAACTATGTGATTCAGTGAACTTGCCTAGAGTTAAAAAAGTTAAAATTCAGTGCATGATTTCAGAGAAAAGTGCCTGCCAAGTTTTCTGTAAAAGAATACATTAATCTAACAATCTTCTGCCCTTTATCATCTTCTCCTCCTGTACCATTTGTTTTCCAAACCACTCCTGTTTAATATTCAGTACTATTACTTTTCTCTCATGCCTGTAATGTAATTTTTAGCACAAGATGTTTTGCACATTGCAAAGCTGTAAGTAACGTGGCTTGTAGTAATTACACTGCAGTGACTGAGAAACATCAGGAATTCCTCAGCTTTTGCTCCAGAACTGATGGCGGTGAGTCATCCTGTAACTTCAGATATGGAATTGCTCCCCCTCTTCTTACATTCCTGTTGCGTGGGATAAATTGCACTTACCTCACATGGCTGTTTTGGAGGATTAGGGCTTTAAAGCATCAAAGTGTGCCGAGCCTTGGTAAGCATTGCTTAATGTGTTTATTAAGGGGCATGCACAGCCCTGGGATGTTTTTCGTGAGACTCAGAAGGGCTGCAAAACAACAGTATTGTTTCTGAAGACCGTACTAAGCACACACTATGCAGAGTTGACTAGCAACATCAGTACCTGCTCGCCCAGGCAGATACTCTGATCTCCGTCTTACTGACATGAAAATTAACACCAGGGCCTCTCTTTCTTCTGTTTTAGATCCTGGCGCTCCTGTGAAACTGCCTTGTATGCCAGTTAAACTGTCACCTCCACTACCTCCAAAGAAAGTCATGATTTGCATGCCTTTAGGGGGGCCAGACCTCTCTCTCTCATCCTATTCCACACAGAAGAGCTCCCAGCAGCCTTTGACCCAGCACCATCACACTGTCCTGCCATCCCAGTTAGCAGCTCACCAGCACCAGCTCCAGTACGGCAGCCACAGCCAGCATCTACCTTCTGGGTCCAGCACGTTGCCCATTCACCCTTCAGGGTGCCGGATGATAGAGGAACTGAACAAAACACTAGCCATGACCATGCAAAGGCTAGAAAGGTAATGGATCAACTTTTTAAATTGCATATTGATGTACAGTGTTTCCTGCTAAACTCAGTATCAATATCACCACTTGAGTTATGTCAATAGTACTTGAAGGAGGCCTCTCTTCTGGGCCCTAAAAACTTCAGGACAGAGTCATTGCTGGAGGAACAAAGACAGGCAAAGAATATTTCCAGGCTTGTTTGACAAGTTTGTGGCAGAAAGGAGAAAAAGACGAAATTCCTGAACCCTGTTGTCCTGTTCAACAAAGTAAGTAATGCAGTCAGTGGAGAAGATTTTAATAAGACATGACTGGCTTGTAGTCTATACTGCAGAGTGCATAACTTCAGAGCTCCCTTTATGTGGAGGATTGCCAAATGAAGGAAAAGAAATGGAAGATTCAGAAAAGAGTGATAAAAAACAAATGTGCCACTCAACCAGGGCATCTGATTAGTATTACCAATTAGCTTGAACCAACCTATGAGGACCTTCTACAAGTCACTCAGAGAGGTTTTAATACAGTATTGTAATTATTTAAATTAATTTAAATTAAATTGTATGCTTGATCTTAAAATTAAGTATTTAACCCATTCCACAGGAGCTACTTTCTTAGCCATTTACATCTGGAAGAAGGTAGTGCATTTGATCAGCCTTACCCACTTTGGGGCTGGTTTTTGTTACTGCCACCTATGAGTGTCTCTGAATGCTGCTCCAAATAGCCTAAGTGAAGCATTTGGTATAAATGCAAGCTGTTCTCATAGACTGCAAGATCCGCAAGCTTTGGAAAATCTGTTTTGTCTTGTAGAGGAAAATTGAGCAAGTCCCAGAATAAGGAAGGTAGTGCAAAAAATTCACATATTCTATTTAGCACCAAGGGCAGCTTTGTAGCCAGCTCAGTCTAGGAGTAGCAGATCAACCTTCTGTTAGACAGAAAGCTAAAGTATTTGGTCTGATAAGCAAAATGACTAATGATTTGCCCCAGTACCTCCTTGTGATAATGTTAACTTCATTATATTGCATAGTTGAAACTAATGTGATTAGAGATGGCAGATTCTCCTTACTGCATGAAAAACAGTCGGGGGAGCAAAGCTATCCCATACTGCCAGTTTATTTTAGTACCAGGATAGTGAGACCTTTGTGGTTACATCAGGAGAGCTAATGTTTCTGCATAGTGGGGGGAATTCTGTGCTGGGGAAAACTGCTAGGGCTACGAGGGAGATTCCTAGTTCTATCAATAAAATGGCTGTAGTTGTAGGACTGGAAAGAACATCCACATTCCTGTGTATGGCAGTGATTACCCACTTACACTTACATTGACAGCAGGGCTGGTCAGGTACATCTGCATCGCTCCAAAGTTTGTTGCATCAAGCACAGAGGGTAGCTGGTGTCTCCCAAAGGTTCCTTTGGGGCTGCACTGCCTTCGCTATCCCCAGCATAGGTTGGATGTCTCGCTATCTAGCTCACGTGCCCAGTGCCCGGTGACATCTCTCAGAGTATGACTTCACTGTGACATCTGTTGCCTCATAGCAATGAATGCTCCAATTTCTAGGAATCCGTCATGCTTATCATGTCTGCAAATACATTTGATTGATTTAAAGGAAGTAATGTTGTTTGAACTACTAATTTGAAGCTGAAGGTATAATGCTTGTTAAAAAATGAATAAGCAAGGATTTGTTTCCCAATATGAAGCAATTGCTAACCTTTGAAAAAGAAAATAAGAAAAGGCTGTAGCACTGATATTTCACATTTAAAGTGAAATAAATCCTAGTTCATGATATTGCAGACAGTTGATTTTTATAGCCTTGTTGTGTTGATTAACTGTTATTTCATGAAATAAAATAGACTGCTTCAGTTATTCTCCTTGACAAAACAAATCAATAACATTTACATTCACAAGAGAGAAAATAGGTGATGACTGTTTCCTCTGCAACAGCAATTGTTATTTTTGTAGTATTCAGAGGTGAAAGGATTTCAGAGTATATACAGGTCTGTGGAGCTGACACTTGCTGTTAAATTCTTAAATTGCCTTTTCAAGCCATATTATGATCTTAGTAAATTTGCTGACTCATCTTGAAGATTTCTGCAGATTTATAAAATACATGTATTTAACTTTTGAGAGGATTATTTGCACCAAAGGTCTCTGTTTTCTAGTATTTTTGAAAGTAGTTCTTTTCCCTTAGTTTTGTAAAATCTGGGTTAAACCCAGCAGAAATCATACTGCAGTATTTGTTATTCAGCCACTTCAGCCAGCTATTTCTGCCCAGAAGTCTTGAGGGCCTGTTAAAAATGCAAGGATCCTATATTTGCTTTCTGAAATTTAAAATTTGGTAATGTGCTCACATCTGTTGCATAGGATATGCAGTGGCATCCTGAGCTTTACTGTTCCTTCCAAGATAACAATGTACTGGGTCACTGCTGTTGGGCCAATAACCTTGATGAGATAAAAGAGCCTGACAAGTCTCTGAGGCACCTTCTGGGGAATGCTGTTCATTGGCAGCATTTATTTTTGCTGATCTCAGTCTTTATCTCAAAAGAACCTTACAACTTCATAGAATAATTGCCATGATGCTGCAGTAATAACACTGCCAAGTCTGTTAATTTGGGGGATTATTTAGAATAGTATTTTGTTTTTAATAGGGGAGGACCATGTAGGCAAGTGCAGCTCAGATTTCTGCTCTAAAGTTTTTCTGTGTATTCCTTCAGGATTTTTTTTTTCCTTCCCTTTGTCTAGTTTTTTTGGTCCTCGTGCGGTGAAGCTCCTCGAGTCTGTTAAACTGCACTGATATTCACTGAATCCATAGCCAGTTAGTATCAATGCTGCATTTTGCCCGGTAAAGATTTCTTTACCGGGCAAAAGTAAAGACCTCACAACTTATTTCAGTAAAGACCTCACAACTCTTCTCTCTGCCAGAACTGTGAGTGTGAATAGGAACAAAGAATGAAAGACGTGCCCTTTCTCTAGCAATCTGGATTTTTGCTTTCACAGATGAGGTCGCTGGAATTCAGATAGTCTGACAACATCTGAAGACTGATAGTTGATACTAGTGCTTTGCCAGCTGATGTTAGAAGCTTGCCATAGAAAAAATAAGCTGTCCCTCTGTACTGGCTTAGAAGCCACAAGTTATTCCAGTGTCTTTGACCTTGAGAAAGCTACCGAGCTTCTCTGCCTGTATTTGCCCCTCTGCAGGAGCGGTTTTATGTTAGTGCCTCACCTAGATCCTAGATCTTGCACATACTAATGTTAATGTCTTAAGGTACATTAAAAGCATGTAATGTCAATTCAAGTTCCAGTTGTTCTGATGACTTAAAATGGCAGTTAATTACTGGAAATTTTTTATTCAGTTTTATTTCAGACATTATAGAGCATTAAGTTCATATACACACTTTATGCATTGATTTAAAATCTTTTCTGTTACTCGTAACATCTATTCATAACCTATTCTCAGAAGTGCAGTCTGTCCCTTGTTATAAGTATGGCTATTATGACATGTCATTTGTGCTGTCAGTTTGCCTCTATTTCCCTGATAAATTACCAGCGTTATGACAGATTAAGTGAAAACACAGAAGAGTATCATTTCCATGTAAACTTTTTTCTGCAGCCTCTGTTGCCAGTTTGTGCCCTACTGCAAACAACTTTCCCCTTCATCCCAAAGCATGTGTGCCAAGCATAAGTAAAACTCTAGATTCAGGCATCACTTTTTACTATTTCAGAATGCATCTTAACAGTTGGTGAAAATCTGGTAAACTCTGCCACCAAAATCTTCAGGTTTCATCCTCCTGACTGAAATGAATTTGAGAAGAAAGACCATGCCCAAAAAGCCCTGCATCACAAACAGCAGGAAAAGAGGCTTTAGAAACCTTCTTGTGCCCCTGGAATGTGTCTTTAATCTTGACTGAGGGAGATAGCTTCTGCATCTGAAATAGTCTTTTTTTCTGCCTTGCCTATGTAGTTCTCTGTCTGGTAAGGCGACAATTAATTTCAATTCCTCTCTGGGCTCTTATACACTAGCAGCTGAATCAAGGCCTCCATTTGTTCAACATATGTACAAAGAGCTGTTAAGTGGCAATATCTCACTCTTTGTGAGAATGGCATCTGTGGCAGAGCATGAAAAATCGCTGTGTCCAAAAAGATAGTGTGTAAGACCAGTTCCTCTGGGACACGCAGCTCTGCTTCAGGCTGTAGATTTATGAAATTAAATGCACAAGACATTCCTGCCAGTGTCTTGTAAATCTTATAAAACATATTTGAGTCAGAAAACATTTCTCTTCCATAAAACTTGTCAACAGAATTGCTTTTTCTCTAAACTTTATCATTGCCTAAGGATAGAAACACTTAATATTTATAGCTCTGCCTTCTCTGTCTCTCACACATATGCCCGTATTGTAGAAACGTATATACAATGGTTTGAAATTTTTTCAGCTCGTTTTGTTTTTTAACTGATAAGTTCAGAAGAGTGTACTGTGGATCTGAAAACATGCTGATAAAAATGTAACTCTATTCTGAAGTCAAAGAGCCTGGGATGACAGATGAAAAGTGTGCTTTATTTTCCTGCTGGATTTTACAGGAGGGATTTCACTTTTTGATTTTGTCTGTATCATGAGTCACTCATATGCTTAAATTCTGATTTTTCATGAAAATATTTTCTCACTAGAATCACTGTAAGCCATAGTGGTGTAACTCTTGCTGTATTGGTCACATAAAGATGATGCAACGGTAATTGCCAAGTGCTTGTACTAGTCAGCTATGAATTGTTGAAATCTGTTGATACATTTATCTTATAAGTACTTGCTTAGCTGTAGCTTTGTCCTCTAATTTTGTTGCAAAAGATTAAGCTAATTTAAAATGGACAGTTTGAAACAATACTGTGGTTTTTGGTGAACAATGTTAAAAAATTTCTGGTGTAGACCACCTGACCATGTGGGGTTTTTGCTAACGACCCAGAGGAATTTATATACAATGGGCATATTCAGTGACCTTGATTTGACTTTCTTAAGAATACTGCAGTACTGCATGTATTTCATAAGTGCTTTGCTTAGACAGCTGACTTAGTCAAAAAGCTGTGGAAAAGGCTGATTTTAATCAAGAAGAACACAAAACATGAAGCAAAATGAGGGGCTTAAAATAGAAAGTAGTATTATCAAGAAAGTGAATGATTCAGAAAAATTACAATGAGAAGCTGCCTATTTCTAGATCAGGAGTTCAAATAAAGCTCCTCTATGGTAATTTGTAAATCTTGTTGCCATCTTGTACCTGCTCAGTAACCTAAACTGATGAACCACTTTGATATCTGCTACCCTATGTGCACATCTGTAAGGATGCACTGTAACCTACATATATCCTTCACAGGACAGGGAAGCACCAAAGGGTCCTGGATGCTGAACTACTTTTTGCTCCTTTCATTTGTACTCCCAGGAGGGACTTAGTGAACTTGTATTTATTTACTTTGTGTATGTGTTGTTTTAAAATTAACCGAATGATCCAGTGGTTGTGTTCATCATTGGAAATTTGTTGTTTGGGGTTTTCTTCCCAGTATTTTGGAATTTGTTGTTGTTTTAGCAATGTTAACAGAATTTCACAGCATTTTAGTTTCTCTTGGAAGTTTAATTCCAGGCTTCTGAATTTCCTACCTTTCCTCTTAAAAAGAGTTACACAAAAAGTAGGCTATAGAGAAAACAGATTTAAAAATTTAACTTCATAGAACTCTTAAAGCATATCAATAAATTAAACACTGGCTGAAAGTTTTTAGTAGTGCATTTATGTTTCATTAGGAGAATTCAGCTGATGAATTTTAAAACTATTCCTGTGATAAAATTTTTTGGGTTAAACTCACTGAAGTCTAATACAAAATTTCACTAGGCAGTTCTTCATGAATCTCTCTTGCTTTGTCGTACAAAACGTGGACTCTCACTAAGAAAATAAAGTTTCTCCCTTCAAGGCATCCAGTAAAGGTATGCATATTGTTGGTTAGTTTGCGATAGTAAATGTTGCAATTAACAAAATTATTTCTTTGAAGTGGTTTCTGCTGACTCACAAATAAACCTGAGCAGCCATGATTTTTGCCTGCCAGTCTTTCATTCTCATTTCACATTGGAAAAGCAACACGAGGTATTAGATAAAATTGGGTTAGGAAACCTGATGCTGTTCCTGACTTTTCCTTTTGTTTGACTTTGGTCTTTGCTTCCTCATGTTCCTGTTTCCCTGCTTGTATTGATATGTTCCTTTGTAAAGGCTTTGAAATCGACACAAGAGCTAGATAATAGCAGTACCTACCACAGCTCTCAACCTGCAGGAAATGATCAATCACACTCTATGTGACGAAAGAAATATGATGCTAGCTCCAATCCAGATTGATCTCCAGCACCGACTGGAGTGAAGAGCCAGGGCAGGAGAATGGATATTGTCACTGCACCCCCCACAACACACAGCATATAACTGCTGTTAGCAAACAAATCTGCCAGGTTTACCTTTCTTCCTTGTCGTTTTCACCAGCTCTCAGAGCCCCCTTTCTTCAGGCCCAGTTTCACATGCTTAGTCCCCTGTACTTCAGAGAGTTGTGCCCTTGCCTTCCTCTTAAGTCAATCAACATCTACTTGCCTAAGGAGTGGTTTTCCTCTGCCTTTCTACATTCCTCCTCTACAATCCATCTTTCCCTCCTCCCACTCTCCTACTCCACCTTTTGCAATCACATGAAATATTTTCTCCCTACTGCCTGCATGCCAGTGGAGAGGTCACACAGACACCAAGCTGAAGAAAGGCTTATCACTCTGAATAGCTGGTGCAATTCTCACTAAGCCCCAAGACTGTATTTGCCATGGATCTTTAGTTCTCAGTCCCGGCTGCCAGTATTTATGCCTGTGTGCTGTCATACCTCTCCCTAGCAAGTGTTGTGCCTTAATTCTAATGTGTACTCAGTTTAAATCCATTAGATGTCTTGATGGTCATGAAGATCTTTCTGTCGTCATTTCTTCTCAGAAAGGAATGAAAGACCACTGTTTCCCTACTAAATACAGTAAGAGAAGCAGCTCAGTCTTTCATGGAGCTGTTTCCTTATTTATTTGCTTTTCTTTCCCAACAGCTCTGGTTTACACACAGGTGACAGTGTTACAAAAACAGGACCTACGGGCCTTCCAGACATGAGACAAGTGCCAACTGTTGTGATCGAATGCGATGACAATAAAGAAAATGTGCCTCATGAAACTGACTATGAAGATTCTTCCTGCCTCTACCCAGGAAGACAGGAAGAGGAAGAAGATGAAGAGGAGGATAACTCATTATTTACAAGTAAGACTTACTCTGTTTTTCCTTTCTCATTTATTTAAGTTTTAGACTGAACTCTCAATACACAAGAGAAACACAAGGCCTTTGAATTTTCTTTCTTGACAGTGGCTTTTGCATCTCTCAGGGCTCAACTACATGGTGATACTTGGTAAATTAATCCAAAATAGCAAGTAGTATGAATTTATAGTGATTTCCTTAATCTACATGAATCCCTGCTGGGTAGCTCTCAGACAGAATCCAAATGACTTATATTAATTCACTTCCTAATTGACTTGGAGTCACTTTCCTGAGTGTCAGTGGTGTACAGAAGCCCTGCCTTTGGCTTAAATCAAGATCAGCTCAGTAGAGTTACTTCAGGAGGGGGAAATAATTACCACTAATAGAGAATCATAGCTTTTGCAATTAGTACATATTAAATAATGTCAGAATTGTAAGTTTGCACATACTTTGAAAGGGCCACAATCAGAGAACTGGGCTCAGATCAGAACTGAGTAACTGATAGACATATTGCAGTTTCAGTCTGGAGAGGGGCTTGTGGCCCCTTCCTGACCTTTCTGAGAAAAACCCATCTCTTGTCTTGGTGTGGCATCACAGGACTCTCCTGTGAAGACAAGATACAGTACTCTTATCCTGGAAGTGAAATTAAGCAGTCTTTGCTCTTAAATTAAGAAACAGAGCAGAACTGCACTATCTTGCAGTCTCCTGCCCAAAGCCCAAAACCTCTCGTGGATTTGTGTATCTCTGCTTGTGTGTCTTCCCTGCTTATACTGCCTAGGAAATCAAGGTTGAGCCATGAACGGCCACTGATTTTCACAGTGTCTTTGCCACTGTTACTGCCTGAGAAGCAGTGTCAGTTAACATACATTTACATCTGTGCTGTTTCTGATTGACTTCTAATTTCTTCTAGTGCTAGCCTTGGTGTTACACTGCAAGAGAGAAACACCTCTCTCTTTCTACATGCTGTAGCTCTGCTGCCTGCCTAGATTCTGAGGTTGAATTATTCATTTCATTACGTGGTTCAGAAACACTGTTCTAGAAAAGGCTACAGATGCTCCTAGCAATTCTGAACCAAGCACTTCTCCACTCCCCTCTATGGAACATTATTTTAATTTCTTTTTTTTGTATACCTGCCAAATTCAGCTTTTCTTTATTATGGTATGAATTGAGGTTAACAGAGCACCTGAAGTTACTTGACGCCTGTTTTCCCACTGTCCATCCTAGAGTAAATGAGAGCCCACTATCAGAAGATGGCTAGTGCTTCTTTGCCTGCTGTATGCTGTAATGAAATGATGAAACCTCCTTTGGCAGAGCCTCTTCTCTCTTCCACAGGCTCCCTGGCAAGGAAGATCTGCAGGCAGGACTCTTTAGCAATCAAACTAAGCAACAGGCCTTCCAAGCGAGAGCTGGAGGAAAAGAACATCCTCCCCATGCAGACTGATGAAGAGAGGCTTGAACTTAGGCAGCAGATTGGGACAAAGTTAACAAGGTAGGAGACAAACATTTTTTCTAACTCTTGCTCTTGGAAATACATGGTGGGATGCAGTTTTTATCCCTAGTCTGTAAATATTTGAGATCTGTTTGTTCAGAGCTCATCAAAAGGAAAAGCCATGGGTGGAAGAGGAAAGACATTATTTCTGCTCCAGTATAACTTCCCATACAATGCCCCATTTCATTTTCCTGGCATATTCTATGGGATCTTTGGTTGCATTAAATATCAGTGTGTACTGTGTGGATTTGGTTGTTTTCAGTGCACCATTTGGAAATGTTCCGCTTTGATAACATTTTGGAGTTTAGCTGCAGGTGCTATTTGATAAGCTATTAGTTTGGCCAAAGGGCAGGGGTGTAACTTTCTCTTCCTACTGCATCTCTCATGAGTAGCTGAGTCTTTTTGTGACCCAAAATAGTTAATGTCCTTTAGTACCTGCTTTTATTGTGTCAGGTTGAACAGCTTTACCCTATCTAGACTCTGTTCTTCGTAATAGTGTTACTCAGCAGCTGTTCTGGTTTTCTGTATTGCATATAAAAGGGTATAGAGGGATAGCCATTAAATGTGGAAGATTTCTGTCAAGAATAATTAAGCTGAGGTCAGGTAGAAATCTCTGAGAACCTTCTATGCTCCAACCATGATTTCTGTAAATATATTTAATAATTTTATGTTATCAACTTGATGGTATGTAGAACTGGTGAATGCTGCTAGTTTCAGTCCAGTGTGACTCTGACAAAGCCACAAATAGAAGACCAACCAGTTTATGGTCTTGTCTGTCACCTCTTTGGAATAAACTGACCGCATCTTTCTAGTCTGTCTGTAAAAGTCTTTGGGCTGGATCATGCTTAGCCTACCCCAAAACCTTCAGCACTCTTGTTGAAGGGCCTCAGCAGTGACTCCCAAAGTATGCAAGATGGTGCCACACTTTGCTGGTACTGTGATTTTTCAGGCCAGTCTTTATTCAATCTAATACCTTGTTAGCCTGCAGCTGCACATGGATCTCTTGGTCCTGAAGAGCAGCAAATGATAGCAGGGTCCTGTTGTTTGATTAGTTTTGAACCCTTTTGAAGCATGTGAAGAGTTGAAACTTTTGTCTCTTAATGTATCCTACTATGCACTGCTTGACCTTGAAATGACATTGGACAGGATTTCCATTGTGTTGCCCATTTGCCTAAATTGCTTAGGTCTCACAGGAATTTTACAGCTCTGTCTGATGAAGGTGAATAGTGTCACCTGAAGACATTGATTCTGCACAGCTCACTGTGCCCCAGGTGTTTTTTATGATAAATGTTTTATATCTCACCTCTCCAAAACCTGCTTCTCCCCCATTAAAGAATGTTTCTTCAGCATATCTCTTTTTAACAGGGAAACTAATTTTGGCAATACCCAGAATCCTTCCTGTGTAAGCCACATATTCTTACAGTGTCATTCTTTGTTCCTGCAATTGCATCTCTGCTCATTCAGTCTGAGTTATAATGCTTGATCGTGTCTTCTAATATGGTTAGGATTGAGGGGCAATCACAAATACTTCAAATAATTAAACCTGTGTATGTACAAGATCAAAAAAATAGTTGAGCCACTGCTATTTCATTCCCAGTTTATACCAGTGTAACATTACTGAAATGGACAGATTTTCATAAGCCTTATCTGGAATAATATAGTTACCAGTCTGACCTTTTAATTACTAGTATTTACAACTTAATATCTCATCCTTTTGAGTGGTTAAAACCAATCAAGAAGTATTAACAGCAAATAATTTTCCTCATCTCTAATATGCAAAAAGCCACAGACTTAAGCAGGAAAAAGGAAGGTACCTGTCTTACCAGTGCTTTGTATCAAAATGTGATGTATCCACGTGCACAGACCGATGAATATTGGATTGAAGTAGAGAGAATATTTCAGTTTGGACAGTATTTCTTTATTCTCTAGACTTCATTACTGAATCAATCCATCCTTTGCTCAGTAATTGTCACACAGTGATGCAGATGCCAAGCAAAATTAAAGTTGTGAAGCATTTATAGTCCTTAGAGAAGATGCTAGATGGGGACTATAATTGCAGCTGGCAGTTTTGGATTTCAGAGGGATTTGTAATGTCCCACCAATGGTCCTCTATGGTTTAAAATAGCCAGCCAATGAAATCACATATGCTACTTACAGAAGTAAAAAATGTGGTATAAAAACTTCAGCAAATAATGATTGTCTGTAATGGATCCATTAATTTTCACCGAGGGGCTGATTAGGATACTTCAGTATTTATGCATAATCCTCACAGTATCTAGTTTGGGAGAGCTCATTGGCTGCCACATTTGGCAGATCAGAATTTATTACTATAAAGAGAACATAATTTTTAAAGATGGTTATAGCCAGGCATATTGAGAGATTGATCATTGACATATTGCAACAGACCAAAATCATCCCAGGTGTAATTCCTCCGGCTTTATTAGAGTTGCACCAGGAATCAATTTGTCTCCGAACTGTTTGTTCAGATCCTATTCAAATGCCGCTTGGAAGCTCTGAACCTCCAGTTAGTCCCAGAAAATTGTTATGACTTTATTATTGTATCCACCAACTGGTAGAGAGACTCTAGAGCAGACTTCACCATGTTTCCCATACTGAGAGACTAGTGCTTGACTTACACCAAACCAGTTGAAAGTGTGAGGCTGCAGAAACTATATCCTATAGCAAGATCTGGCCTGCTATACACATGAATATTGGCTCAGTTGTGAGACAAATTACAGCCTTTGCGCCTATCACAGAAACACTTCACATGAATGTAATTCTTCTGTGGTGAGTATCCTGTATCATGGCTCAGCACATGTACATCCAAGCAAAATGGAACTTTTTGCCCAAGATGGCAGCATACATCCTAGCAATGACAAGAGATCCCACATCACATGAATACCAGCCATATGAATAGGCCCCTGCACCATAGCCTTTTTCTGGGCAGTCTTTACACAGCAATTAACAGCAACTAACTAGAAGACCTCCTCCTCTAACCAAACCAGAACGGACTACTCAAAAATACAATACCTACAACCAAGGGGCAAAAATAGAGTTAAAATGCAGAACTTACAGCTCATAACTACATGTGACTTGAGGATGGGAAATGGATGCTGGAGGCTATGTTCTTGGCTGCTAAAAACCCTTACAACTCCATTAACTTCTACTCTGAAATGCAGACCTGTGCTAAGTAAATCTTTAAATGGGTATGGTTTTCTTGCTTTGTTTTTTCTGCCTGCTCAGCTTTTCCCATTCTCCTCCTCCATTTTATCCCTCTGGTGCCTGCATAGCTTCAGAGCTGCTCACGAAATGCATGTAAACAGGAAAAGCCAGAACACTGAAAGTTAACCAGCCGAGGGAAAAGACAGACTTTTGCCTTCTGCCTCTCTCTCTGGATGTGTTGGACCTGCTGGGAAGCAATGGTCCCCTGCTTATTCAGGCCAGAGCCAGGGACCAGGAGGACCTGGATATAGCTTTCAGTGGCTGTCAGGGTGAGAGGAGTGTGGCATATCTAGGCTATGATTGTGAAGCAAGGACTTAGGCTCTGGATCTGAGCTTGGAGGTTCTCCTAGGGGCAGTGTCACAAGCCCCTGGTGAGGAAGAAGAGGACCAGTACTGATGGGTGATGCACAGCAGAGCTGCCTGTCTCCCAAAGACTGCAAGACCATCTCGTGGTACTGAAACAGGTGCTTCAGTGCTGGTCCTTGCACTCCTGTTTCACCAAGGAATCATAATGGTGGTCATGAGAGATCACACGGACTTCCTTAATCAGTATGTTACTTATTCTAGTAAGTACTAGAGCCCTTTAGAGAAAATCTATCTATGTATTTCTGTGTGGCTATACACTACAGTCCTTTGATGAGGACTTTGCACTCCTTTCAGCCAGGAACACCTGGCTTCTTTGAGTGACTTTCACAAAGTCTTTCCCATGCCTTGAGACAACATATCTTTAGACTATTGGCTGATCTGCCACGCATCCTACTAGAGAGGCTTTCTAAAGCACTCAAGTCTTTCTTGAGTCTCTTATACCCCCAAGGCTAGTGAAGGTGCTCATTAGTAGTTAGATACAGGAGTATTAAAGCTGAGATTTGGGTCCACTGCCTCTCAAAAATGCATGGCAGTGTCCTTTTCTGTTTTCCCTGGATTGTTTCCATCCTGTCTTTTTCCACCTGCTGGAATAGGATGAGCTAATCATGCAAAATATCATCACATTGATAATAATTGGTGTTAAGGGAACTTCATGATGTTCACAGTTTTATTACTGGTCAGCATGATGTCTCTTTCATCAGCACACTCCTACCCACCTTAGGGCAGAGGGCAGGTGAGGCAGGGGAGATACACAAAGGCTGTCCACAGGTGAGCAGTGCAGGTCAAGGGACTGCTACCCATCACTGACAGGTGCCACAGGCAGCTCATTAAGGTTTTGCAGCCCTCTAAGATTTAGTGCTGTGCAGCTGCCAAAAGCTGTCAGTTGTAGGAGTCACATTTAACCCAAGACCATGCCTAGTATGAAAGTAGAGAGAGATGAGATGGGGGAGCAGCCCTCTGCACATTAAATAATTACATAGAAAATAATTCAATTAGTAACAAACGAGAAAGTAACTTCTTGCCGTGTCCACACACTACCTTTTGCCTTTCATGTGTATGACTGATGGACAACCCAGCGTTCAACTGAATCTTTGAGTATGTCACTGGGTATGCTCTGCTGTCTTTAAAGCAGTGAATCAACGGCAGGCTCCCCTTTCAGATATACAGTAGTGCTCTGCTTTTTGTTTTTATAGCCCTAGATTTATTCACTACAGTTCCTTATGGGATGCTGTCATTACAGCAGCAAGTGGAAAAATCTTGATCTGAAGCAATATAAATAGTGGATTGCAAGTATCATGAGGCAAAGGATAGGAAGTATGAAAGTAGATCACAGAGACACTGTGTGCGTATGGCTGTAAATTTGTACACTTGAAATGTGGACATGCACACCTGTTAGATATGTTTATAGTCCC